GAACCTGTGCTATGACCTACTGTAACTAAGTGGTGTCCCAAATTTTCTGATCAAGGAGATTATGGGGCCACAGAGGAAAGTGATCGATGATATGATCTGCTTGGCTCTAATGGAAGGAATATATATATATATATATATATATATGTATTCTGCAAAGTGAGTTCAAGGCCAACCTGAACTGCACATTGAGACCCTATCTCAGAAAAAAATATTAATATACATATATATATTCTAAGCTAATTGTACTACTAATTTCTATTAGTTCATTGATAGGAACAGTGTGTTTCTATTGTTTGATCAGCCTTACATATCTATATTTGGTAATCTGAGAAACTACTTTGAAGATAACAATATGCAACATAATAACCATTGTTAATTTTTTATCATGTTGTTTTGAAATTCTGTATTATTTTTGTTTTTATTATTTTTAATATATTTGATAAAGGGTCTCACCATGCATTTCAGACTTGCAGTGATCCTTTTGTTTTCAGCCTACCCAGCACTGGGGTTACAGGCGTGTGCCCCCACACACAGATTGTGTTTGGCTCAGGGTGCACAGAAGCAGGGCCCTTGCAGCCTGCAGTATGGGTATTGAACTGCAGTCCTTGTGCTTGCCTAAGTAGGCACTTAGTCTGCTGAGCTTTCTTGCTAGCCCTTTATTATTTTTTTAAATTTTAAAAATATTTATAACTACTCTAAAAATAGGAGTCAATGAACAACCCACTGCAATAAGCTTAGTGCACTTTGTATCCTTCACTCATCTACTCTGAAACAACACATCTTTCTTAAACATAGTCCACCTAAGTCAATCAGTAAATATTTATTAAGAGCCTAGTATGCTTCAGATAGTTGGACATAAACAAAATGAAAAGTATTTTACCCTAGTAGTTTTAAGTCTATAGAGGTTTTGTATACATAATAAGTAAATATGCAGTATGTAAGAAAGCAATAACAGTATGGGAAACTATAGAAGAGTAGTGTGAAATTGGAAGTGTGTGAATTTATGTGCATATGAGTGCTATGTGTGTGTATATGTGAGCAGTTTCACTGTTATTCCTTGATATGATGTTATACTTGGATTTAGCATATTTCTTGGGCTGTATTTTATATAGGTCAGAGGTTCTATCCTCATGCTGTCTATTGCTTTCTGACATGACTTCTCTATAAATTGGGTATTACTTGTGATGATTTCCCTGCACTTTTCAGTATAACTTCGTCTCTGCTACTTTAATTAACTCTTACATATTACTTTGCTCTAACAGTTAAAGCATTCATCTTGCTGCCCTCTGGGCCAGTGGTCAAAGTTATGACTGGTGCCTTAAGAATTTGTTAGCCTTACCTACCACAATCACTTCTCCTCTTCTGTTTGGTCTTCCTTCTTGTTTGCCTCAGAGCTGACAGTGGCTGTAAGTGAAACGCACATGCATTTCTTAACCCTAAAACTTGATTAAAACTGCCATACTAAAAATGAATTATTTTTCTGCAAAGAATTAAACATGATGAGTCAACTGGTTATTTGCTTATAAATATCTCCAATTCTAGTCAGAACTATTGTTATTTAGAGCTTGGCCTGGTGGCACTTGCCTGTGATACCAGTACTCAAGAGGCTGAGGTAGAAGGATTGCTTCAAGTCTGAGGCTAGCCTGGTCTACAAAATGAGTTCTAGGCCAGCCTGAACTGCACATTGAAACCCTATCTCATAAAACAATATTAATTACAAGAGAACTATTGTGACTTAGCTTATCATCAATTGATCATTGATCCTAAGGTGTCTAAATATCCAAGATGATTCCAACCTCTGTGATTTCCCAATTCTGAAAATTTTTCTGACTGTGGAACAATACTTTAATCTATACCTAAGGGTTTCAGGCAAAATGGGATTTCCTTGCCCTGTGATATTTTGTTGTTATTGTTGCAATAATGAGGATTGAACCCAGAACCTCTCACATGCTAGAAAAATGCTCTACCACTGAACTATATCCCCAGCCCTTTTTATTTTATTTTGAGACAACACCTTGCTAAATTGTCCAGGCTAGCATTGAATTTATGGTTGCCCTGTTCCAGCTTATCCTGTAACTGTGATTCCAGCTATGTGCCACCCTACTTGACAAAATTTCTTAATCTACTGAATAGGCTGACTGTTCAAATAAGAGGAATTTAATTAACTTACCTATTTAGAAGATTCTGTTTTAAAATGAACTATTTGAAAAATATTGCTCCACTGGAACTTTTCACTTCTATTTCTCCTTAAAAGTCTGAGTTTTTCATGAACCAACCTTTTTCACAAGGGTTTTAAGCAGATTA